TTTTTTTTTTTTTTTTTTTTTTTTTTTTTTTTGGTTTTGGGGTGGAGGTCACAAGGTCTCACTGTAATTCAGGCTGGCCTTGATCTCACTTTGTAGCCCAGGCTGGCCTACTCACAGTGATCTTCCTGCCTCAGCCTCCAATGCACTAGGGTTACAGGCGTGCACCACCACACCCAGCCTTTCCATGGCGGTAACAATTCAGTCTCAATGTGAGCTGGAGCCGAGGGGAAGCACCGAGATCTCACTCATTCAAGAAGCATCATCACATCTATATGCCAGGCCTTTTACGGGTGGTTGGGATGCTTGGGTAAGTCAGGTGCCTTTGCCTGGCGTCTGTTGAGAAGTGTTGTCTGATCCTTTGCCTCAGGGCTCAGCGGAAAACTGACCAGCCGAGGAGTCTGTATCTGCATCAGCACTGCTTTTGAGGGGAACCTACTGGATTCCTACTTTGTGGACCTGGTCATACAGAGACCACTCTGGATCCATCACCATTCCGTTCCAGTCTTCATTCCTCTAGAAAAGATAGCTGCAAAGTACTTACAGACCGATATTCAGCGCTTCCTGTTCAGTCTGTGCGAGTACCTAAATGCTTATGCTGGGAGGAAGTACCAGGCAGACCGACTTCAGGTATTTACTTAGGACCTTGTATGTCTCCTTCTATGGGCCAAAGATAGACTTAAAAGGAAAAGAGGGACAGATTGTCTTTTTTATATTTTAAATGTTTCCTAACTCTGAAACAGAAGTGTCTGTTACTTTTCTAATACTTGTTTCTTATTTTCAGACCAGCTATTTTTACTTTTTTCTAACCCCTTTTGTTTTGTTTTGTTTTTGGTACTGGGGATTGAACTCAGGACCTTGCGCTTGTGAGGCAGGCAGTGGTACCACTGAGCTAAATCCCCAGCCCTTTTTTACTCTTGAAACATTAGATGATTTTGAAGTGTAGGTCCTGGTTAAGGGATTATGTTTGTGGTCCTCATTATCACAAGGTAGTGAAGCACAGGTGCTATAATTTAATTCAGCAAGGATTTTTTTTAGAGCACCTACTGTATACAGGTTTTTGATGGACCTTGGGGATAGATACAGAGTAACATAAAGGAATGCTGTCGTCTTCCCCTCAACTCTGGCCTCCTTAGGGTGGCAGCTGAGCCAAGTTTGGAGTGAAAGATACACAGGAAACCAATGCAGATACAAAAAAATGAACTTTAAAGCTTAGCCTTTCCCCCTGTGTACATCTGGATTGACTGAGGTCTCCAGTTGTCAGCTTAAGTGGGTATGTGAGTGCAGAGATGAAGCATCTGACCATATAGTGATGGCAACAGAATTCTTGGCAGAAATGGTGATATCTTCCTGCAGCCTTCGAGTGATTGGGGGCAGGGACAGCACTGGGGATTGAACATGGAGCCTTGTACATGCTAGGCAAGCACTCTACCACTGAGCTACAGTCCCGGCCCTGAGAGTCTTGCTGAATTGCCCGTGCTGGCCTTGAACCTGTGGTCTTGTCTTAGCTTCCCAAGCAGCTGGAATTATAGGCATGCACGACCATGTCCGGCTTAGTTATCTTATATACTTGCCTTTCTTTCTGGCCTTTTTCTAGTCCCCATCTCCTTCTCTAAAATTTAAGGGTCACAGCCACTTTGGTTTGTCTTTGGAGCAATACTCATCATACACTTGCTTTATCTCTCACCCATCAGGGTGACTTTGCAGCCTTTTTGACCAGACCCTTGCATAGAAACTCCCTGTGCAACTTGCTGTTGTTTACTTATAAAGTGGAACAGATGCGTCAGTCCTCGTTTTGTGCCAGACTGCTGTATGAGGACCTCACTGCAACTCTTCCAACTGACACCACTGTTACATATCAAGGTAAGAGGAGGATACCATGCTGAGAAGTACTGTCATGTGCTCCGCTCATGAGCTTGAGTAACAGGTAAATAGGTGGCATCTATCAAGTGGACCTCTGAGACACTTTGTTTACATGCTATAAATCTACTCATTAACAGACAGAGTATTTGGTTCCTGCCAGTGTTTCCTTTCCTCTTTGTAAATGGTAAACATAATCCTAGTCCTCCTGCCTCTGCCCATGTTCTTTCAGTTTATGATTTGTGTTTATGGGAGACCATCTCTTGGAGGAGGACAGCTCAGGCTGAGTCATAAGTTCATTTATAGTGAATGGAGCCAAGAAACTTACTCTGCAGCGAATCCAAGTAGACATTACACACTAGGAGCTTAGCTTTCTAGAATCTATTTTCCAAATGGGAATTTTTCGGGGCTGGCCAAGAGGACTTTTTTTGTGTGGGCTTCTTTCAGCTAAATGTGTCATAATATGACATTGGCAAAAATGAAAAACTGGGTAAAGGGCCGGGGATTCAGCTCAGTGCTACCGCTGCCTGCCTTGGGTGCAAGGTCCTGAGTTCAATCCCTGGTACTCAAAAAATGATGACCACACTGGGTAAAATGTTTTTAGGAGGCAGAAATTTTGAAAGTGCCACAAGTCTCACACCTTAGGTTTTAGTTTTCTTGGGTAGAGTCTGCTTTAAGTCTCTGGCCTCAAAATTACATTGATCCCATAAGGGGCAGCCTCTCTCAGCTCCGAGCAAGTGAAAGATCATATGGGTCCAGAGTAGTGACGATCCAGGTTCTCATTCCTCTGACTGCCCTGAGATTTAAGACTCTCTCTTAGGGACAGAAGCATTATCCACTTCGATGGAAGAACAGCGAGCATCCCATGAAGCTTTATTCCGCACAAAGCCCCTGCATCAGGTATTTGCTTCATTTGCAAAAGAGGAGGAGCTGGATTTGAGCCTGGCCTCCTGAAATACTGTTCTGCTGGGGAAGCACTGCGGTGAATGGCCAGCTCTAGACCTGCAAACTGCCGAGGGGCCCATGCTGTGTCAAAGCACCATCCTCGCTGTGACGTGACAATGCCTGCTGCTTCGTCAGGATGTCAAGGAGTAAGTTTGAATCCACAGACACTGAAATTTTTGGACAGTTTTCCATGACTGTCTGGTCACTTGTTATAATGCTCAGGACCATGTGTTCTTCTGAGGTATTTGATCATATTCTAGCTGAAAATCAAAATGGTTTGTAGACCTATAATAGAAGACATTTTGTGAAAGACTAAAGGGAATTTCTACTGTTTATGGGAGCTTTTAATAATTCTGCCTCATTTTCCTAAGATTTAAAAAGGTTCTTAGAATAGTCTAGATTCATGATATATAGGTCATGAACTTAAAAGAACTTGTCTTTGGTTTGGAGCAATGTGTATTCTAGGCCATTGTTTTATAAGGAATATGGTGTGGTAAAATACTGTTGTATAAAATAATAGCTAAACGTATGAAGTCACTTTGAGAAAGTACAATTAGAAATCTGCATAAATTCAGTCATTGTTGAAAAGGTAAGCAGGCCCTCCCCCTTCATGGTTTCTTCCTGCAGACTCCAGACTGACTGTGAAACTGTGAAATCTTCGTCTCCACCTCTGAGGCCCTTTAGTGTAGTGTTTCTCTCTCTACTGGCACTTTCTCCTTGGCTTAGGGCCAGCTGACAGCTGTGAATGTCTGTCTGGCTGGTCACATTCTCCCATCACAATTCCTGCCCCTTCTTTGCCCAGTCTCAAATGGGGGGGGGGCTATTACTGCTCCAGGCCCAGAGCTGGGCTCAGACATCACGCAAAACTGGCCACTTCTAGACCCCAGGGTCATGGGGCTCTGGCCTGTGGGGGCACCCCACTAAATCAGCTTGGGGGACAGACTAAATCATCGTGGCTGCCTTTTAAAAGAAAGCAGCTTAAGAATAAAAGTAGCATCTCACTTCAAGCTCTTGCCTTCTAGGTGTGTGGTGAGAACCAGTGGTTTTAGTCTGCAGAGCACTTACTAAGACATTAAAAGGATGTTCACAATGATCCCATTTAAGTTGAGTAAAGCTTTTAATAAAACAGTCTTGTTCTTTGTCAATACCTGTAAATTCTTTTAAAGCAGTAGCAAAGGCGACTGTAGCAAGAGCTCAAAAGGCAAGGCAATATTGGAAAGTGTTTTTAACAGGTTAAAAATATAAATGTAGAAGATCTGTTTATATAATTTTCTTTCAGAAATACCCCCCCCCAACTAGGTGAAAGGAAATATTGCACTTTCTGCTCTCATGACTAAGGTGACAGGGTTCCAGAAGAACCTTTCAAGATTATCAGGAACATCAGGACAAGGGTTGCTTGACCTAACCGGGACCCTGAGGACACAGCCAGATCTCCGCGGCAGCTTCCTTCACAACAGCACATTGTCAAGTTCCAGCCAGAAGCACAGCATCCTCCAGCGCCACCTCTGCCAGGCCCCATCTGCAGCAGAGCTCCCGACCTGTGCTCCCAGCCCAGTGGCACAGGCAACCGTGTCCCACCTCTCTGCACTCCTCTCACAGTGGCCATGGCCTCTCTGGGGGAAGAAGGGCTGTGCCAGTACTATGCCTAAGACTCCTACTCTGGGGAAGCTACAGGCACACTGAGGAAGAGTACGGCCACCCTCAGAGCTCACGTATCCACAAACAGATGAAGGCTTGAGATTCTTAAACCTAAAGTCTATGGGAGTGTGCACTTCAGCAATTGGAGAACACTGGGACTTGGTCATTTGCCATTTCCCGATGCCTTTCTTCAGTTTCAAAAAAATAAATTCTCCCTTCCCATGTGGACCATTGTGGGGCCAGAGGCCATTCAGGAGTTATCCACCACCTGGTGGGGCAGTGTAACAGAGGAGCCGTTGGGGAAGGCAGGTGGCCTGTCTCGTCCCTTCAAGAAGAAGGTCAGCAGCTCTCCCTTCCCTTTCACAAAGATGGGACCTCGCCTTACAAAGCGGAAGCCGTACTCTCGGAGGATGACCTGTGTTTCCTCCACCACCTGCACACAGAAAACAGTGAGAGTGTGGGTCAGAGAGGGAGCCTAGACCAATCGGCACAGGGGCTCTGTCCCAGCGCCCTGGAGGGGATGGGGTGAGGGACACGGGACCCGGAACCCTCCACTTCCCAAAGACAGTCCTTGGGCTGCCTGTGTGGCGCATGGTCCGGCCCGTTCCCTCCCTGCTCTCTTGGCCCCATGTCCATTCTGTGGAGCTTTTCTGGCAGGCCTGGCTCATCTCCCCCAGAAGTTAAACCTAAGTGTTGCAGAGGAGGAAGCAGAGGCCTCTCCCCTCCACAGTCGTTCATCTCTCAGCACTGCTGGTGCTCACAGTGGACCGGCGGCAGGAAGCAACAGCACACAGAACAGCACACACTGTTCTGCTTTCCTCTGCCCTAGCCCTTTATCCCAGGACACTGAGCTGTGGTGCTAAACGTACCTGAATGTTGCCCATCACTCCTGTGGACTCCATCCTGCTGGCCACGTTGACTGTATTGCCCCAGATGTCATAGTGTGGTTTCCGGGCTCCAATGACCCCAGCCAGAACCCCTCCTTTGTTCATGCCTGGGGCACAAGGCATAAAGTTCAGCACGACCACATACCAAGCCTCCATCACCCTCTCAGAAGTGGCCACTCTTGGGATCGCTTTCAACCCTCATCACAAAAGCTGGTTATGTAACATCCTATATTCCTTAAGTCGTGTCTCCTGTTCACCCTGTCCTCACCAAGAACTCAGCAGATCTCGGCTACCAGGGCATGCTAGTTAAAGTACTCAGGACAGTGGTGACCAGCTTCCCCAACACCTGGTCCTCCAGGGTCCTGCGGCCTGGCTCAGAAGGAACAATCCCCCTCCCACCCAGTAGGAAGTGATAACTCCCTCGAAAGGGCAGGATGACCTGAAAGGAGCAGAGCCCCCAGCAGGTACTAGATCCTGCAGAGTCAGACAACAGGCTGTCAATAATCAACAGGGACAGGTCCAGCTTCACCACCGTATCATTCAGGTTTCTGACATGACACCAGAACATGACTACTTTTTAGTTCTCCAGCCGCCCCGTGAGTGTGAGGCACCTTTCCAGTCTTCCAGAGCCGCTGGTCTTTCTTACCTATGCGCAGCATGAAGTTGTTGAAGGACTGGTTGTTGATGTTTGTAAGTGTATCCTTCATGGCGAGTGCAAAGTCTGCCAGGTCAGCCAGGTGCTGCCAGCGCTCCTTGTCTGACTTCTCCTCCTGTAGTGAGCAGTGGTGAAAGTGTCAGGAGCTATCCAGGCTGCAACTGTGGTGGCCTGCTTGTCCCAGAGCAGCATTCTGGGGGATTCCTACACATAGTTGTAGTGGCCTCCTTTCCTTCCTACAAGGGAGTCCGCAGCAAAGAATTCACACATCCCTCAAGCAGGCCTAGGGCAGACCGGGCCATGGTGGTGGGGGAGGGAGACACGCTGTCCAGCCTGCTTGCTTCCTGTGTGCCATGTACCTAGTCATGAGGTGAGTCTCTTCACCACCCTCGGAGCCTGGTCTTCAGATTTCTGCGGAGTTGTCCTTGTTTGGATTCAAGTAGTTTAGGCCTTGCCCTGCTTTGTTAACCTCACCCAGTAAGGGGAAATGAGCTGTGGGGATCTGGTGCCAACTACTGCCATTATGGGACAGTAAGAAGGGTAAAATGGTAATGATGTTTTAAGAACAACAACAAAAAGAACAGTGTTTGGTACCAGGCCCCCATGGCTCATTTCCCATTCTAGGAGCTAAACAGCTTAGCAGAACGACAGGCCACAGCAGCCAGTGAGTTCCCAGGGTCTGCCCTTTAAGTTTTCATTGTTAGCTGTGGGAATGGCTCCTGTTCCCTGGTTCTCATCAAAGTTCCAGCCTGACGGGTGTGGTTGGGGTGCCCAAGCCCACTAGGCCTACCCTTTGGAACGATAATGGGTTTTGTTTGTGCTCTGCTATTTCTCTGCTTGTTAGACCTCAGTGAGCCTCTTCTGTCTTCACTGCATGTGCTCTTCGTATGTATCTTGGAGCCCTTTGTGTGACAGTACAAATTAACTTCTCATTTTACCTTTGTAATTTCTCATTTCCCACTTGCTGGTTCTGGGCAAACAAGAGGCTGCTTGTCTCTCATTCCCAGGCAGAATGCTGACCCCTCCCCAGCCCCCGTACCTTGTTGGAGCTGGTAAAGCCATTGGTGTTCACATCTGGGGTGACTCCTGAAGCTGCCATATAGGTGCTGCCAATGGTTTTGATCTTGGTGATGACCCGGAATTTGGGGTTGTCCAGGAGCTAAGGCCAGGGTTAAGCAAAGAGGATTGTCAGCAGTCAAGGAGATGAATGAGTCAACTAATAGATTTACCCACTTACAAGGACCCCACAAAGCATCCAAGAGATGCTTTCGAAAAAATGCTTTATTTATTCTACATCTACCTGCCACGTGATCCTTGACTAACAACACATAAAACTGCCAACTGTCCTGGGGTAACTGAGCACATATGTAAGGGCATTTTTCCTAGTATACATAGCACTCAATAAGTGTTCACTGAATCTGACTGTGAGGGTAGGAGGAGTCCGGGCACCTCTGGGTCTTGTTGGCCAGTCCTTGTCCTGCGATTCCCAGGCTCCCATGCACCCCTCAGACTGAGCAGTTCTAGATGGCTGCAGAAGCACAGATATGACAGGAAAATGCAGCCAGCGTAGAGGCACTTCCTTCCTTCTGCCTTCTATCCTGAGAGCTGATCTAGGATGGCTTAGCTCTGTGACAGGAGGGGCAGGAGGGCACTCACGGAGTCAAAATCAGAGATGATCTCATTGAGGAACCGCAGACACTCAATTCCACCGTTATTGATGCTCTCCTCAGTATAGAAGTCAGCAAAGTTGGGCAGAGAGGCAAACATGACTCCTATCTCATCATAGGACTGGCTGTACAGCTCCTAAAAAGAGGCAGGGTCCAAGTGTGCTAGAGAAGCAAGTCTGTCTTCATCACACAAAATACAAATGCTTGAACCCAGACATCTCTCAGATTGTCCCAGTTTTGAATAGAGAGTGCCTCATCACACTCTGAATAATGAAAAACAGCTCTCCAAGTTCTTTTAACAAACCCTCCCCCGCCCTGCCTTTTTTTTTGAGTCTCACTGTGTAGTTGAGACGGACCTGGAGCTCACTGTGTAGCCCAGGCTGGTCTCGAACTCACAGCGATCCTCCTGCCTCAGCCTCCTGAGTACTGGGATTACAGGTGTGCACCACCACGCCCGGCCAACCAACCCATCTTTGAGAAGGAGAGTTCAGTGGAGTTGACGACCCCATGCTGCTCTCAGAAGTCACACTGATAGAAGCGGGACATAGGCCAGGTCCCATCCTGTGTGGGAGGCCTCGGGGCCGTGACTAGCTGAGCAGGGTCTGCAGCTGCCCTCCACAAGAAGCGTGGGAGTCCTCTTTTACTGCTAATGCTGCTGCCTAGGGATGGGCCTGGGAGCTCCCAGAAGGAACAACACATGAAGGCCAGTGGCTGGGCTCCTGGCCCCAGCCTGTAGGCCTCCTCCCTCACCTCATCCCTCTTCTTGGACCCAAGGAAATGCCTCGCAACATGCTCGGGCAACATGTTGGTGACCAGGGCCTCATTCCAGCGTCGCATCTCATACACACGTTCCTTCTGGTCATGGACCTCAATCTTCCACAAGAATAGTGTCCGGGCCAGTTTTTCTACCTAGAGATACAGATACAGGCAAGGCAGGTATGTGCTCTAAAGCTAGCTGTTTAAGGAAAGATGAAGGACGGGGCTTAGAGGGATGGGATCCACTTGGAGAAACTGAAAGGTGCATAAATAGCAAGGAAGGTAAAACCCTGGTGGATTCACACCCCATAGCAAGGTTCCCAGTCCTGGTTACAACTGAGATCCAGCAGGTGTTCACATGTATAAGGAGCCTAAGGGCCCTAATTTTAGCTGCAGGTCTGCCTTGTGGGGGCGGGCAGGATCTCCAGCCCAGGGCAAGGTCCCCATTTGCCCTTTCTCCATTTGGAAGGCTGTACTTCCCCCAGCACACCACTAGGCGGCACTCAAGCTAACACGAGTTCTTGTATGGCTACCTCCCCTTCTCTTTTAAACCACAAAAACTGCCTCAGCTTCCTGGCCACTCTGGCTTCAGTGTCGCTGTGTGTGTACACGTGTGTGTGCACACGCCCTTTCCACTGTAGGATGAGTGCAGAAGCCCTCATCTGGTTTAAGGAATAGAGTTGTTCTGGCTCCTGAAAGTCAGGGATGAAATGAAGTGTTTTTCTAGATTATGAAGAAACCAGAACGTGGAGAAG